TTTGTGGCTCGTCTCCCATCAAAAGATGCTGGGGTGGGGGGGACTGTGTCAGCGGCCGTGTTTCTGTTAATGCGAAATGAATGTGTGCGTCTCGAGGGAAAACACTAATATATGCGCGACCATGAACCAGCACGTGTGATATAGGGGTGCCGTTGAAAGCAAGTCCCTCTGTCACTCTTTCTGCTGATATACGGCATGGCTTTGTGTTTGCACAGAGCCAATAATGTTTAGAAATCCCAGTGGGCTTTGGAATAACAAATGTTTTGTGTTTTTTTCCTTTTTTATTGGAATGTACCCACTTTTTGGTGCATCTGTGAACTGCAAGACTTTTGTCCTTTAATTATAATGTCCTTCAGTGTTCCTCAGATTAGCACAAACTTAAGTCCCTCGCTTTGTCATATAAGAGCTCCTCTTTTAACGATAGCATTGTTTTTTTTTACAGCATCCACACTATTCTGAGCTGCTGACATCTGGTCAGAACCGGAGAATCCACTCTTTCATACAGTCGAAACAGGTAAGATGCTTTTTGTTTGATTCCCACTGACTTTTTGATGTATTCATTGTGATTCAGTGGCCGTCTCAGACAGAGAGAGGAATAGAGCAGAGGCATAAAAAGAAAAAAAGATGAAAAAGAATGAGTGATGTGTTTTTATGATTTATGACTTGCATATCCCTCTTCACTTCACCAAGATGAACTAAAAAGCTGTTACTGAAATCAAAAGAAATTTGCATTTTTTGGCTGCTTGCACACACTGATGTGTGCTGACAGATTGTTATCATGTTGAAAGCTGGGGAAATGTGTCTTGTTTGAGGTTTGACTAGTGCAGTTGTGTTCGTGATCTTTGATTATTTACTATGTCTTTTATTCTATACAAAAATGGATTTTGTAATGAAATCATTTAAAGCAGAGGTGGCCTAACTTGTTAATATGAAGGGCCAAAAAAGTCATACCTGATTGAGGACTGTGGGCCAAAAGCAAATGTTGCATTATATCCAACAGTATTATATTACAAATAAAAAATTTATTAAATGAAACTCATTTAAATGATTTTTTAGTCAAATTAACTTAAGCAAATGTTAAAGGGATAGTTCACCCTCATGTCTTCCAAACCCGTAAGACCCTCAACTTCAGTTTTGCGAAGCTACGAGAATACTTTTTGAGTGCAAAGAAAACAAAAATAACATAACTTTTTCAACAATTCTTCTCCCCCGAGTTACGCAGATTACGTTCATGTGTGCGCTTTCTCCTCCTAACGTAAACAACGCTGATTATGCAGATTACGTTCATGCGC